TAAAGTCTATAATCACATTAAATATGTTAGTTAAGTCTTTGGAAATATTCATAAGAACTTTAACTCTAAATTACAGCTTTCTAAACAGGTCTTCTCTTCAAAGTGAAAATTTATAGGACTCTAAATAAAAACTGAAAACATAAAATACTGACTAGTAATCAGGACAAACAAAATATCTGTTATATGAAAATCATTCTGTCCTCCAAATATAAGAAAGCTTGTTTTTATTTCCCTAGAACAGTTTGATAAATTATACCTTCATAAGCAATATGGAAGCTTTTATAGTTTTCTCCCTACCTGATCTCTCCAGAATTTGGCAATTATTAATGAGTGAATCATGGCAATAGGTTTCTTTGCATGAATTCAGCAAGACCAGTTTCCAATTGTAGTTTTATTAACCAAGATTTTGACTGGGATGTCATGTCTGAAAGAGATATACCTGACTCTGGGTGTCACTAGAAAGCCTTAAGAAGCCTTTTTTTTTTTAATTTTTTAAAATATATTTTATTGATTTTTCACAGAGAGGAAGAGAGAGAGATAGAGAGCTAGAAACATCAATGAGAGAGAAACATCAACCAGCTGCCTCCTACACACCCCCTACCGGGGATGTGCCTGCAACCAACGTACTTGCCCCTGACCGGAATCGAACCTGGGACCTTCCAGTCCACAGATGCTCTACCACTAAGCCAAACCGGTTTTGGCCTTAAGAAGCCTCTTGAAGAAAGCTTGGCACCTTGCGGTTCATGGTAGTTTTTCCAGGTAAGGAACAAAGGTTACTTCCTGAGAGATGGCAAAGAGGGAACCTCAAGACATCATTGGGGACCTCAAGAACTTGAAGAATTCACCCATCTACAAGTACTGCAGGAAAATCTGATGGCAACAAGGAGGCTCAGCTTCTTTGCACTGAGGGTCTAATTACAGCTCAATCATGAGATCCCAGCAAAGCAGGTTTTTAAAAGCCTATGTAATCAATTGCTATTCTTACTGTGTTCATGCAATCAGACCAAATTGTAACCAAACAATATAGTAAATAAATTAGTCTTAAGTTGGCTCTTTGTTTTTTTTTTTTGTTTTTTTAAAAATGTTTTTATTGATTTTTTACAGAGAGAAAGGGAAAGAGATAGAGAGCTAGAAACGTCGATGAGAGAGAAACACCAACCAGCTGCCTCTTGCACACCCACAACCAACGTACATGCCCCTGACCGGAATGGAACTGGGACCTTTAAGTCCGCAGACCGAGGCTCTACCACTGAGCCAAACCGGTTTCGGCAAGTTGGCTCTTTAATAAAAATGAGGGTGAATTTAAGGTTAAAAGTGTGTTTCAATAGATTCTATAGTACACAGTTATAAATATTAAGCTCAAAGCTTAATTTTTCACCTATGAATTAAACTAGATCCTGATTTCATCTTAAATATTTGGCTACAACCCTCCAAGCTAATATTTCTTTCCTTTCACCAGACCCTTTTCATAATTCTCGTCATTCTAGCTTTTGTCCCAGTAACACAAAAATTTATAAAACAGTTTCTCTCCACCAGTTACAAGCCTTATAGTCGGAAAATACCACCCCTCCTTTTGTACCCAGACCTCACTGTCCCTCTGACAAAGCGCAAGGATTTTTGTCTCTGAGGGAAAACATCACCCCCTTTCAGCAGGAAGCCATTACAGAAAAGACCCTATGCCCCTTTCTCTGAAAGAATTCGACACCAAGGCCGGGACTGGTTTGGCTCAGTGGATAGAGCGTCGGCCTGCGGACTGAAAGGTCCCTGGTTCAATTCCGGTCAAGGGCATGTACCTTGGTTGCGGGTACATCCCCAGTAGGGTGTGTGCAAGAGGCAGCTGATCGATGATTCTCTCTCATCGATGTTTCTAACTCTCTATCTCTCTCTCTTCCTCCTGTGAAAAATCAATAAAATATATTTTTTTAAAAAAAGAATTCAACACCAAAAATCCTTGAGGGGGAAAATGTTAGATCCCCAGATCAAAGACAACCTGGTAAGTACAGAAACTCACCAGGGCAGAAAGCTCTGGATGCCTAGCAAGGGGGCAAAACTGGAAAAATAAGAACTTCACTACCAGAGTAATCTATCCACCCCTAGCACATTGCTAGTCAGGTGGTTTAGTCACCCTGACCCTTTCCTCCCTAAAGATAACATTTAGATGCCCCTGTATTTCAACTCCAGACCCAGAAAAGCAGCAAAGCCAGACAAGTGACACCGTGGCTGCCTCAGGGCCAGCTCAGCCCCCAGACCTACTGAAGACAAGAGTTTCTCACCAGCGACTGCATATAAGGGTGAAACTCCAGCTTCTGGGTGCTGCCATCGTCCACCCAATGTCCCCTTGACTCCGTGCTGTGCAGCCCTTCCTTTGGATATTCCATCCCCAACGCCCTTTTCCCTAAATAAATTCAATTTTTCTTTATCCACTATCTAAATGGCTATTTAGCCTGCCAGCTAAATAGCTAGAAGATAATCTTCCATATCTGTTACACAAGGTCACTATCAATGATTAAAAAAAAAAAAAAAAAAAAAAAAAAAAAAATGTGGTTGAATATACAGGTTCCTAAGGCAATATATACACTTCTCAAATTTGACTATTAGCAGATTTTACAAACATTTCTTAGACTGCTATGTTCCTTTCAAGTTATTTGGAATAATTGTTTGTTCCGCTGAGAAGAAAATTGGCTGAAAGCGAAGAGGGTAGGGGGAAGATACATTGGGTGACTAGATATGAATTTTTTTAGAGTAGAATTCCAATCTTATTCATCTTGGTAACCACAGGTTAGTGTCTAGAATGGTTTTAGGGGTTTTAAAATGGCCAGTCTCTAGTTAGGTGTTTTCCATACACTTTGTTTCTCACAATAGCACTTCATGATTGGTGCCCACAATCCCATTTTCTGGAAATAAGAAAACCTGAGGATGAGATTATTAAATAATTACAACCTTACCAAATGCAGAACTGAGCCTGAGATCTAGGTCTAACTCTAAAGTTAGTTACCTTTTTCCATGTGAATGTTATAAAAAAAAAAAAAAAAAGTTTTTTGAACAAATATAGAACTAAAAACAAATGTAGGTTACTTCCTTTTTATTTCAGACCCATGCTCCAAAAATATAACTCTGTATAAGGCATATTTCTTTAGGTCACTTTGCTGTCCTTCCCTCCAGGAAGGTTCAAGGCCAAAAAAACATAAGCCAGGTAATATACAAGTGTAAATGCCTGTCTAGAAATAAATCTAACAATTACAGGAAGATGCGCTAACTGGACACTGGGAAATGAAATGTTAAAATTTCAGATTACTCACCACTATTAAAACACTCCCTGGAGGAAAAGAAGCAAAACTTAATTGCAAACTGTTGGTTTGAAGTTTGGAAAAAGAAAAAAAAAAGTTTTTGAGTTCATGAGTAGTATACAAAACACTGAATTGTTTAAGGTAATAATGTTTCCCTTTCACTGAGACCATTTGATTCAATTTCCTGCTCCCTTAAGACTCCTTTAAATGCAAAGTCAGAAGCAGAAAGCAGAGCTGGGCTGCTTCCATTCACCAAGGTTAAATAAGAGTCACCTTGCTCAGACCTCTGCCAGCCACCACCCAGCTCAGATTTTTTCAGCCACACTCCCCCAAAGGCAAACTTGGGTACTTGTGGTTCCCATGACACAGCACATAGCTGCAGGCCTTCTGGAGCTTTGTTTGGGTTGAGCCACAAAGCACAGGATGGATGCCCGGAATGGACATCCAGCGCCCACTGCTTCCTCTAGCCCAAATCTTTTTTACATCATTCTCATTATCGATCGCTATTTTATCCCTCTGATGCGTCTCTTATTAGACCCAGGAAGAGAGATGAAATACTAGCTTTCCCCCTTTCACCAGCCCGCTCTCATGCAACTCAGCCCTCTCGGCGCTACTTCTGCAAAAGTGTGGCGAGACACTTGTAGAGAAACCACGCCTCATTCACTCCTCTCGCGTGCGGGGTGTGTCTGTGTGTGATGTGAATGCACTTGGCAGAGACCCTCGCCAGTCCTACCAGGAAAAGGGCCCTAGCTCACAAACCGCCCTGGCCAAACCAGTCTGCAATCGCTTTGGCGGAAGTTAAGGGAGAAAAGCGGGTGTGGAGAGCAGCCGCGGGGCAGCATCCGCCCCGAGGAGGCGGTTCGCCCTGGAGCCGCCCGCCGGCCTCCCGCGCTACCTGGCCCGGTGCCCCCGGCGTGGCGCAGGAGCTTAGGACACCCAGGGGGAGCCGGAGGGGCAGCCTCTCCCAAAGCCACGGTCCCCTCCTGCCAGAGCGCAAGCCAGGACAGCACACACCTTTCCGTCCGCCTCCTACCCCACCCAGAGACCTGGGGACCTCAAAAAAAAGGGAGGAAGACGACCTCCCTGGTGATACTCGGTCCCCTCCCAGCCTCTCCGAGCCCAGATCTGTCTGCTAACAGAGAAGACGGTCCCTACACACCAGGACCTCCAGCCCTCTCCTCGCCCCCACCCTGGGGTGCAGCAACCAGGCCGCCCCGGAGGCTCCCGGGCCCCGGGGAAGGATGCTGATGAGAAGGGCGGGATGCTGGGGACACGCCGGACGGCAGGGAACCAGCCCCGGGAGACTCCTTGGGCCAAGAGGAAGTGGGGGAATCCCGCTCCGCAAGGGTCTCCGAGCAAAAGTTCAGAGCGTGGGCAACTCCTGGCAGGAAGCGCGCGGGCGTGCGGGGAGCTCCTTTCCCGGGGACCCCTCCGAGCCGCGTCCTCCTCGCGCGCGCCCCGAGCCCGCACGCCCCGCTCCGGAGGCAGCTCTGGGGGTGCTTGTTTCTGTCTCTATAAGGGGGCGCACCGGCACGCTGCGTCCGGCGTGTGTGTCACCGGCGGGGCCAGAAGTTTTCTGCAACCCGCGTGCGGCTCCGGGACGGCGGGGTGCAGCCGCGCGCTCGCCCGCCCGCCTACCCGCGGCGCCCGCCCCTCTCCTCCTCCCCATCTCCCCCTCCACCCCCCCCCCCCGGCTCCCGGCGAGTGCCTTACCTGGCCCTGGCACCGGTGGGCACGGCAGCTCCCGCTCCCTCCCAGCCGCAGCAGGATCGCCTCGCAGTCACCGGGCGAGTGCCATTATTTATTTATTTCGGTCCCCTGACGTGTCCTCGCCCCGCCGCAGCCAGAGGTGGAGGAGGAGGAGGAGGAGGAGGAGGAGGAGGCGGGGAGGGGAGGCGCGGCGGCGGAGCGCCCTCGTGGGTGCCCCAGAGCGGGCCCTGCGGGGAGGGAGGGCAGGAGGGAGGGAAGAGGGAGGGGAGGGGAGGGAGCCGTGGGGAACCCGGGCTAGCGCCATCCTCCCTGCAGGAACCCGCCCGGCCGCCGGAGGGGACAGACCGCCGCCCTGTGACTCAAGGAGCACTGAGCATGCTCCCAGCGATTGTCGACGCGGGAGACACTTTCTCCGCGGCCCGGGGCACTCCACTTCAGGTTTTAGTGCTGGCCCAGAGGGGAAGCCGAAAGTCTGGTGGAGGGAAGGGTTGTTCCAGCTTGGTCCCAGCGCGCTCTCAGGTGTGCCGTTCTGTGCAGGCGGCCGGGACTTGTGCCACGTACCGCACAGAAGAGCCCTCCCAGGGAGAAGAGCCTGGCAGAGAGCAGGGCGACTAGGGGGTTCTCTTTGTGAGTTGGGATTGTTTGTTTGTTTGTTTGTTTGGGGGGAGGGGGCGCAGAGGTTGGGTACTTTTATTTTTATTTTTTTTTATTTTTTAAATATATTTTATTGATTTTTTTTTTTTTTTCAGAGAGAAAGAGAGCGGGCTAGAGAGTCAGAAACATCAATGAGAGAATCGGCTGCCTCCTGCACCCCCCACTGGGGATGCGCCACAACCAAGGCACATGCCCTTGACCTGAATTGAACCCAGGACCATTCAGTCTGCAGGCAGATGCTCTACCCACTGAGCCAAACCGGTTTCTGCTTGGGTCCTTTTAGGATGAAGGCATAGGGGTTTGGTGGGGAGGGACAGGGAAGAGATGGCTTTGGTGGAGATCAGGCTTACCAACCAAATCACGCCAAAGGGAAAAATAAAATGGAAGGAAGATTGTAGAAAATAGCACAAGAACTTGAATATACGTAAGAAATGAAAGACAACCACTTGTCAATAATTCCTTTTAGTTTCTCAAATGATTTAATTCTTCAAAGGATAATGGTTTGGTGTCTTCTGCCTTCCTCCCCACCCTTTTCCCCCTGTTTCTTGGGGAAATTGGAAAGAGGACAGACTGGAAAGGAACATTTAGCTTGAGGTTTTTTTTAATGCATGGAAGATGGAATTACTACTTAGAGGAAAAGAAACTGTCCAGAAGAATAAACTCAGGCTTAGATTTGAGGATTCATACTGCAGTTTTGCTGTCAATTTAACGGATTTCACCTCTCATTCTTGCCTTTCAAGAATGAAAGATAAAATGTTATTAATCCTAGATAATATAACTTCCAGAAACTTTTCTTGTTAATATTAGATCTTGACATCCTTTATGAGAAGCCAAGATAAGTTAGCTAAAATAATTAGAACTCTGATGCCCAAAAGACAAAGAATCAAAATGGCAATATAGTTAAAAAGAAAATTTCATGTATTTATTAAATGTGTGGCGATTCAGATCAAGTCACCCCAACATGTCCCTCTGTGCTATAGAAACTATTCTGAGCCCAGCCGATGTTGCTCGGTGGTTGAGCATTGACCTATGAACCAAGAGGTCACAGTTCGATTCCCATTAGGGCACATGCCTGGGTTGCAGGCTTGATCTCCAATAGAGGGCATGCAGGAGGCAGCAGATCCATGATTCTCATCGACATTTCTTTCTCCCTCTCTAACATAAAAAATAAATGAAAAAGACATATATTAAAAAAAAAACTTTTGAGCTAAAGGCAATTTTAGTCACAGGCTCAAGAAACTCTTGCCCCTAACTTAACTAGCTGGAATAACATGAATTAGAGCCTTTCCCATAGTGATTATTAGAGATAGCCTCTTTTTAAAAAATATATATTTTATTGATTTTTTACAGAGAGGAAGGGAGAGGGATAGAGAATTAGAAACATTGATGAGAGAATCATCAATCAGCTGCCTCCTGCACACCCCCCACTGGGGATGTGCCTGCAACCTATGTACATGCCCTTGACGAGAATCTAATCCTGGACCTTTCAGTCAGAAGGCTAATACTGTACCCACTGAGCCAAACCGGTTTTGGCTAGAGATAGCCTCTTTTAACCTAGCTTTAGGGCAGAATATATTGCTATTTACTAAACCCCTGTTCTTATCAGCCTGCAATGACACTTTGAAACCCCCTGTGGTGTATTATCTCATCCCTCATTCAGGATGTCTTATATACCTGTGTCCCCCTTTTTACCCCTTCCCCCACAAGGATGTATCCCCCAACTTCTAAGGGGCCCCATGAGACTTGCAACCAGGGAAGAAATGGCAGCTGCAGCTCGTCCCTGGCTCAGCCCCAGAACCTGTCTCCAAGCCCCCCTTCCTCTGACTCCCCAGGGAGCTAAAGCAGCTTGACCATTTCTGTCTCTCTAAAAATCTGAGAAGAACCCAGGTCCTAGCAGGTAACCCCAATCAGTAACAAGGTTAGCACATGACCCCTCCTCAACTACACTAATCTGGCTCAAGTGTATTTGATACTAACACCAGGCAGAAGACCCTGGGTAGAGGAAGTTCCTTCCTGCACACAAGGGCTTGTCATTGTCAGGCACTGTTCTAAGCACTTAGGTGGATTTCCTCAATTAATACAATAACTGCAGCAGATTACTCACATTTACAAATTTGAAGACAAGTTAAGTCACTGGGCTAGATTCAAGTTGCCTCACTTCTGCCATAGCTAGTCTATAAGCTAGGACAAAACTTGAATTTCAGTTTCTGCTGTAGGCAGTTAGACAGACCTGAGCAGAGCCAGGACAGTGGGCCAGGTACAGAAGGTGCATTCTCTCATCCCCAGCTCAGGATGTCTTCTATACCTCAGTCCCCTTGGTGTCTCCAAACCTCACATGCCTGTGGGCTCTCTGACTCCCATGTGCTTGGGATTCCCATACCATATATATATATATAAAATTTGGTTATGTCCTCTTGCTAATCTGTCTCATGTCTATTTGATTATTAAACCAGCCTAAAGAACCTTTGTTAGGGGCCAAAGTGGAATACTGGGGACTAGCTACGGTTATGGGAAATATTGATCATGCTCTGTAAACCAGGATTGCTTTGTGCTGGTTAAAGAGAGGACATTCTCACCTGGTAGAGAGTTGTATGGCCTGGGGACCTGGAGTTAACTTTGGAATGGGGTCTATTCTCATTCAAGAACTGCTTATTATCAAGGAAAGATTAACAACCTCCTGGTCCAAACTATGGAGTGCCACCCTAACCTGCATAGCTTACTTCCCCATGCCAGTAATCCCTACTTCCCCTTGTAATCCTTGTCCTACTCAATGTGAACAACTGGTTTATGGGGGATTGCGGAGATTTTTGTGGTTGACCTGCTTTCTTATTCTGCCATCGTTATTGAAATAAACTCTCATATACAATTCAACCGTGTCTCTGCTTATTTGGCTCAAGTAGTGAGAGGCAGCCTGGACCCCTTAGTTATCCAGTTTTACTTTGATGGCGATGTGACATATGTTATTTCTTTTTTATTTTTTTATTTTATTGATTATGGTATCACATAATTGTCCTCATCCCCCCAATTCCCATCCCTAACCCCTCCCCACATATGCCCCCATCCCCTCTGTTGTCCATGGCCACTGGCTAGGCCCCTATGCAAGCACACAAGTCCTTTGGTTGTTCTCTCCCTCTTACCCCCACCCTCCCCTACTTTCCCTCTTAGAGCCAGAATATCACATGTGTCAAACACAAGGCCAGCGGGCCAAATCCATCCCTCCAGGCCTTGCAATGTGGCCCGCACCGCGCTGTCATCACTGCACTCCGCTGCGTTTCCATCACAATGACAGTTTATGACTGTTCAGTAAACCATTCGGCCCTCGATTTAGGCTGGATTTTAGATTTTGGCCCCTTCCCTGATTGAGTTCGACACCCCTACAGTATATACCCCTTCATTCTTACCTTTTTTCCAGACCCCTCAGGGCACAATCAAATGCCCTGGGCACTAGGACAGATACCAGAAATCCCATAATTATTATTGTTATCATGTTAATTGTTGACTGTTAACTCATCTTGTAACCACCTAAGTAAAAGAAGTATGTGTTTATCATTTTACTCTTGATCCAGTCCTGGAGGTTTTCCCACTTTACTCTCTCCTCCCTCTCCCTCTCTAATCTATCACCAATGAATTTCACTTACCCCACCTACATCTCTTCCTTTGATTGCAATGTATAAAAATAGATGAAAACCCACCATTCTCTGGAGCATTATCCCAGTCAGTTGAGATTCTGCTTCCCAGCAATTGTCAACAGTTTAGCTTAAATAAACTTACAAAAATTATTTACAGGTTAGGATGTTTTCACGCTAACACACTTATGAATAGAATTGTTTTTTAACTTTCCCTTTCTGATTGTTCATTATCCTATACAATAAAGAGATATATGAAAATTGATTGTCACGCCCTTGCACAAGATGGCTGCCCTGTGATCACAAGATGGCTGCCCCCATATGGTCACAAGATGGCCGGCAGGGGAAGGCAGTTGTGAGTGATCAGGCCAGCAGGGGAGGGCAGTTGGGGGATACCGGGCCTACACGAGAGGTAGGGCAGTGTTGTGGGGTTGAACCCTGTGTTCAAAATAAGACCACCAGAGGCTGATGATTGATTTAAAAAAGCAGGCAAGGATTTATTGAAAAACTGGCCAGGACGGCTGCAAGAGCACCACACCCAGGTAGAGTCCATACAACCACACAGTTCCAGGTGTAGGCAGTCTTTTTAAAGGTCCAAACCACAGGAATTTTCCTTTGTTCTAAATTCTAAAGGCTGGGAACAGCCCTCAGGGGACATTGGAATGTGGCCCTATCTTGAGATAGCTGGAAAGCAGAGCTCGGCAGTTAATCTCTAAAGGTTATCTACAGTGTCTACCCCTAAAGCTACTGAGTCAGTGGGAATCAATCTCCTGTATTTCTGGTCCCCGGCACAGGAAAATTGCCTCAGCCTCCAGGTCTCTATCTGGAAGCTGAGGCAACTACCCTATGTTTAAGCAAGTAAGCGAATGCTGAAGCCAGA